TGGTGGACAGTGACGTGAGTTGAGTACTGACGGTTACCCCTCAAGTTACTCTCCAGGTGCTATTATTAGTAACACTATTTAATATAAGCTAGTAGTTCCTCATTTATTAATCTAACTTATATCAATAATTTATATACTTCCACCTGCTATATTTCGTCTCCCGTGGTCATAAATATCGTAGTTTTATGAAAGATTTCGTAATATTTTTCACTGAAACAGACAAAATCAACATAGACTTTTAAACACGATTACGTAAACTATATCACCAACAGTTAACGTAATGAATGATTTATTTTTTCACGGTTTTATCTCAGAAAAAATCTTCCAATAAACAATAAATGAAAACAAATGGGGTTGAATTTACCGATATGGCAGCGAGTCTCACCAGCCAATGAAAATATTAGAAATAAAAGAGCCAATGAAAGAGAAATAGAACAGTTATATAATATTGGGAGGGTTGTTGTAGTTGTTGTAGTAGTACTAGTAGTAATATAGTAGTAGTAGTAGTAGTAGTAATATAGTAGTAGTAGTAGTAGTAGTAGTAGTAGCTCAGCTCTCGATGCTGCACACAGGAGGAACGAGAACGACAACAAGGGCATATGGGGAGAGATTTCAGAACGTTGATCAAGGCAGCTTCACTCCTCTAGTGTTCACAACCTCTGGTGGGATGGGACCAAGTGCAAGATGCTTCTACGCCAGACTCGCGGAGATGATCTCCGAACAGAAGCAGCAGCCCAGAAGTTATGTTACAGCCTGGATGAAATGTCGACTGTCTTTCTCTCTCCTTCGGTCGGCTTTACTCCGCCTCAGGGGAACGAGAGCTTCTGCCCCAATGCCGACAACTGCTGCAGATATTGACTATGAGGCTACAGTCACTGAATGCCGCATAGATCTGCGGCTCAACTAATTCAACACAGATAGGATAGCTACTTATGTATTAGGATATTTAATATTTAGGTAATAAAATGGCGGCGAAGGTGTGGTTATTGGGGGAGGCTGGAGGCCTTTGAAAAAAATAAAACCAGTAGTATTAAATAGTAGTAGCAGTAATAGTAGTAGTAGTAGTAACAGTAGTATTACATAGTAGTAGTAATAATATTAGTAGTAGTTGAAGGCACTCGAGGGTCATACACCACATTATGTAAAGCTAAGGAGGAATTCTGTTTGAGTTTAGCTTAAAAGTTTTCTATATCGAGGAAGGAAAAAAATAAGTTTAGGGTAATATTTTACTTCGTGTGGGCCAAGTTGTTATTGACCTTCAGATTCACGGTAAAGGATGTAATACTCCCGTGCTATTGTGTTTATTAACCCGAGGAAGAGGAAGAGAGGAGAGGAGGGGGAGGAGGAAGAGAGGAGAGGAGGGGGAGGACGAAGAGAGGGAGGTTAGTGGCGGTGGGGAAGATGAAGAAGGAGGAGGGGGAGGAGAAGAAGCCTTTGAAATTTAGGCTCTGGAATACTGTACAGATGAAGGAAATTAATTATGGTGGTCACATCAAGTTGACTCTCTCTCTCTCTCTCTCTCTCTCTCTCTCTGTGTGAGTGATTTAGGTGGATCTTCACTGCGGATTCTGGTGCGCTAACTCCACTTTGTGTTGCATCACCTCATTTACAATGCTAAGGAGGAGGACGCACACACACACACACACACACACACACACACACACACACACACACACACGCACGCAGAAAAGGGCCTGCAGAATCATGCTCGGCGCAGAATACTCGTCTACACCAACGCTCTCTCCACCCTGGAAATGCCATCCCTCAGTGACCTCCACCACCAAGCACTGGAAAGGTTTGGCAGTGGACTACTGCACCACCCTCGTCATCGCCACCTCCTGCCACCTGCAGTCCCCCACCCACCTCGCGCAGTCCGCCACTACAACAAAATACAGCCCATAAGAGCCCGCACTGATAGATATAAGAACAGCACCATCCCATCTATTGTTAAAATAATAAACAACTCCTGATTTATGTACTGTATAGCCCTGTAAATGTATTTAGCGCATATTATATCATTATGTCTAAATAAAATGTAAGTCTGTATATTTTCAGCCACCGGCTGCAACTCTATTAATAAACCGTTTATTATTATTATTATTATTATTATTATTATTATTATTATTATTATTATTATTATTATTACACACACACACACACACACACACTTTTCTACCCTTTACCCTCCTGGCAGACACCTTAATCATTACTTCCTCATTAATTGCACCAGTGAGGTCAATACACGCCTCTCCTGATTATCTAACTGATCATCCAACTGAAAGAGATTATATTCCCTGTTCCCCCCAGCCACTGTCACACCCCGTGATTATGTTAAGTGAAGTGTGTGTGTGTGTGTGTGTGTGTGTGTGTGTGTGTTAACTTATAGCACAAATAGTAATATCCAATATGGCGTTCGAATTGTACTCAGACTCTAATTTGATGCGATAGCTTAGTTTAGGTTAGGTTCAGATTAAGTATGGTCAGGTTAGGGTTAAAATAAGTTAAGTTAGTATTAGATTAAGTTAGGTTCAATTTGGGTTAAAGTTAGGGTTAAATTAAGTTAGAATGAGATTAGGTTAATATTAATTTGGCGTTGATCAGTTTGTTTACATTTAACTATAGCGGCGCTAATCACCGTTTTGAATTATCATTAAACATGCTAATCCATTCCCTTGTAGCCAGTGATAATCCCGTTCGTCAATATATGTAAAGTCACTAAACTCGCTAATCACTTTGTTGACAGGTAGTGATAATCGCCCCCCCCCCCAATCATAACGTCCATGAATATTTACAATCAGTGAGAGTAGACGGGTCATTTCTAATCATCTTCACACGTATTAATCATATCGTTACCAATCGTCTCCAAACGCTCAGACCAAATCATCTATTAATCTCACAGCTAATCCTGGTAGGAGGTGCGTGAGGGAGACCGGTAGAAGGAGAGATCGCTAGAGAGAGAGAGAGAGGTGGGGGGGGGAGAAGAGGTAGTAATTATGTGAATCACCTGGGCAAACCTCACCTGTTGATTGTGCGGCAGTTTTCGTCCGCCCTCCCGCCCGCCCACCCACCCACCTGCCCTCAGCCTTTTTCCTTCCACGCTCCATTCCCTTCTTCAACGCTCCATTCCTTCCTTCCACGCTCCATTCTTTCCTTCCACGCTCCATTATTTCCTTCCCCGCTCCATTCCTCTCTCCCACGCCTGTTTTTCTCCTCCCACTTCCCTTTTCTTCCTCCCACCCTCGCCCTTCCTCCCCTCACTCTCACTCAGGTGGGAGGAGAAAAGTAATTAGTGTAATCAGACCCTTAAGCAGGTGAGCGACAGGTGTTAATATGGTCACTAATGATGTTTATTTTTGTTGGGCAACAGTGACTAAAAGGAGAGAGAGAGAGAGAGAGAGAGAGAGAGAGAGGTGATTTAACTAACAGGTCAATATTATTATGATATCCAAGTGATCTTTGTGTGTGTGTGTGTGTGTGTGTGTGTGTGTGTGTGTGTGTGTGTGTGTGTGTGTGTGTGTGTGTGTGTGTGTGTGTGTGTGTGTGTGTGTGTGTGTGTGTTTATTAGAGCCTGGTCGAAGGTTCGTCTTGCCACATGTCCCCTTTAAACTCGCCTCTACTTATCTCTCGTCCAAACACATTGACGCACACAGCTCCGCCCCCTTCCGTCCCTCGTTAGGTGTCACTGGGGGCATTACACACCTGTCCCCTATCCTATAACACCTGGTATAACATATTAACTCATGAGTATTCCCTGGGATGGGGATATAATAGTTGTTGGATAGTGGATAGGTTGGCTAGTTATGTGGGTGAATGTGATGGTGTAGCGTCATGCTGGTCTGTGTGTGTGTGTGTGTGTGTGTGTGTGTCTGTGTGTGTGTGTGTGTGTGTGTGTGTGTGTCTGTGTGGTAGGTAGGTGCGTGAGACTCACCTGAGGCGGCCCATGACGTTATAATGTGTTTAATCTATATAATGCAACCTGTTACATGGAAAAACATACAGAATATATATATTTATTTTTTTAACTCAACCTTCCATAATATCTAGAGTTTGTCACATACGGAGGCCAGAGTTTGTGATTCGTGTTTGTTTTGTTTTTTAGCCAGAATTAAACGCCCCAGACAAACATATTCGTACAATATATAACTGGAGGTTGGAGTAACACAGGTACAGACAACTCCAGGTATATGTGTCTTAGGTAGGTGGAGTGTGTGTGTGTGTTGTCTGAGAGGACCCGACACAGGTGGTGGTGAGTGGCACTTGGGAATCATAATATGTTTCGCTATTGATAAACTGCTAGTGTCCTCCCGCCATAGTTTGTCATGACTTATATACAACACTGTCATGAGGTGAAGGCCCCTGATGACATGAGCTGTTCACAGGTTGAGGAGTGGATAGGAGTTGTCATGAGTTGTGACTCACATACAGCTGTCCCCATGCCATGATTCACAGCATACCCACTCCACAAACACCACACACCCACACACACTCACATACCCACACACTCACACACCCACACACTCACACACTCACACATCACACACTTATAGACCCTACAGACCACACATTCACACACCCACATACACACACATACCCACACACTACACACCCACACACTCACACACCCACACACTCACACACCTAACAGCGGATTACATACCGTCTCGCTCCCCTGCTCCTTTAAACTGGACTCTGAACGATTGTGACCCAGAAAATGGTGCCCCCCCCCTCCGTCCACTACCCCCTCACCCGCGGCCATCACCAAGTTTGCCACTTAATTAGTTCTTAGTGAGAGTAACGACCGAAACTTGGGAGGGAAAAAAATGCCGTTTTTAATTCACTTATTTCCTCCATTTAGACGACCGGCAGTCATAAATGGTACTTGGAGTTTTGTTGTCGTGTTTATTTTCTTTTATACATTGATTAACAGGTAAGTTAAAGAGACACCTGACGAACGCCTCTGATGACCTAACCTTACCTCTCTCTCTCTCTCTCCTCCACAGGTGTACAGAAGTTTGTTCCAGCCCCTGAAGGTGTCGCGCCACCAGTTCAAGCGAGTTATCAACTGCATGAAGCTCATCCGCTACGTCAAGTTCCAGGAGATTTACGCCCAGGAGAAGATCACCAGAGTTGACTCTCTCTCTCTCGTGCTCTCTGGCAGGTGAGTGTTGCGGGGGGGGGAAGGATAAGGGAGGGGAGGGTAGAGAGAGGGATGAGGAGGGCAGGGAGGAGGTAAGAGCAGGACTGAGGGCCAAGGAGGAGGTAAGGGCAGGAGTTAGGGCCAAGGAGGAGGTACATGTCTTATCCATAGACAGAAGACACACTTTAATTTACGTCTGTTTGAGAATTCCGGCTCAGGTCTTGAAGTGGACGACCCTGAAGAAGAGAGAGACAGTGTTAGTGGGTAGTTCCCGGTGTTCTTGTGGGGGCGTGAGGGGCGGAGGGTGGCGGCGTGTCCACTCCTGTGTCAACTCATGGAGGAGAGGGGCGTATTAGATCAAGAGGAGAAGCTGGTAGGTGGGTCGTCGTTCGTGTTAATCTCAGGTATTCGACACCTTGACTCCTACACCTGTACCTGTTGTCTCTTGTCTGTTATATATGGTTTACAGTCTTTGTTCCTTCAGGGATTACCGCGCGAGTGAACTGTTTGATGCCTAGAGTTCATCATTTCATATAATAATAATAATAATAATAATAATAATAATAATAATAATAATAATGGTGATGATGATATAATAATGAAAATAATAAAATGACGATAATAAAGTTTGGAGTGTGGGAAGAATGCGGGGAGGCGGGCTATAATTCGGCAAGGTGTCCTATTACACTTAATGGAGACTAATTGGCTCCAGGTGTGAGTTATGTGCGGGGGGAAAATAGACAATGACGGAACACCACCAGTATGTAACGAGGAAATATTTCTCTCTGGTAGTAGTAGTAGTAGTAGTAGTAGTATTAGTGGTGGTAGTAGTAGTATTAGTGGTGGTAGTGGTAGTAGTGGTAGTTGTAGTAGTAGTAGTGAGGTGGCCAGGAGGAATATAAGGTGTGTTCCTCCAAGTATGAGAGTGAGGTCATGGGTCTATAATGGCCAAAGATTCTGCTCTCAGTCTACTTGTGTGTGTGTGTGTGTGTGTGTGTGTGTGTGTGTGTGTGTGTGTGTGTGTGTGTGTGTGTGTGTGTGTGTGTGTGTGTGTGTGTGTGTGTGTGTGTGTGTGTGTGTGTGTGTGTGTGTGTGTGTGCGTGTGTGTGTGTGTGTGTAGATACGTTACCACATCTCTATTAACGAGAATGAACAAACACAGGAACCTTCGTCAGTGTGAGGCGTGCTGGGTATAAACTCTACGGTCACCTCCCACCACGTTTCACTTACTCTGCCATCTCCACCACCACTCTCCTGTTATCACGCTCTTCCTTCATTTCTTTATTTATTCTTTGTCTTTAGCGATAATTTCCCCTTTACAGTCACTCTCTGTTGGTATTAGTCTGACGAAAACATTAAGTAGAGGTTTTTGTTTACATTTAGGCAGCCTAATTACCGCCAGTTCTGATTTGACTGATGGAATATTTTCACACGATTGACGTTTTATTTTGTATTTTCAACTGAAGCTTAACACACCTGATGGCTAGTTCTTGATCTTTCTTCTCGGTTTATTATTTAATGTGAGAAATATATAAACTTATTTTTTTTTATTGAAAGGAGTCATCTCATAAAATTAATTTGGATCACGTGAAGTTTACCTCTCCCCTTCCAGGTTAGGTTAGGTTAGATTAGATTAAGTTAGGTTAGGTTAGGTTAGCATGAGGTTAGGTTAGCATGAGGTTAGATTAGGATAGATTAATTTTGGTTAAGTTAAGTTAGCATTAAGGTTCCTATATACCAGTTACATTATACAGTTAAGAGTGACTGTAAACTGTATAACTGATGGTGTATATAAACTATCCGAGGGGTTGTGTTCGGTTCTGCCCCACCCAACATGGAGGGTGGGTGTGGCTGGGGCGGAGGTGGGTGTGGCTGGGGGGTGGTGGGTGGCTGGGGTGGAGGTAGGGTGGCTGGGGGTGGGTGGCTGGGGTGGAGGTAGGTGTGGCTGGGGGTGGGGGGGTGTGGCTGGGGCGGGGGACCGTGGCTTAACACTAAAACATGAGGAAAATGAGTGATAAGAGTTGATGAATAATACATAGATAAAGATGGATGATAAATAAATAAAATAAATAATAAATGAATAAATAAATAAATGGATTGATAAAGATAAATAATAAAAACTAATTAATATGAATAAATAAAAACTAAATAAAGAAAATTAATATAAGTGTCAAGATTAGAATACGTGTTTTATTAATTAGCTAAGAAAGAACAAAAAATATTCCCATACTTTGAGTTTAGAAAAAATTATATTATATTTATTTGATATTTTTTTACAGATATATAAAACCACTGAATTGTAAATATACACTGTATGTAAATATGTTTGGGTTTACAGTTGATTGTTTTTGAATTTACATATA